AAGTGTACAAAACTTCCTTACACTCGCTTATTGAAAGTCAAACAGCTAGTGAGCTCAGACGGAATGGTAGTGGTGCACTTATTGCAAGTATTCGTGGTATGATTGAATATTCAACTTCAACTGGTTAGGACAAATACAAGTACGATAAGCTCGAATGCACAACTTGCCAGTACTAGAGCGCAAATACGGATTTTAAATGTCTTGAAATTGTGAAATGCAAGCATTCCCTTGGAGACGAAAAATAGCGATTTAGCGGGAGTTTAAAATAAGATGCTTGATCAAGCGCTGAAAAAAAAATTGGCGCAAGTTATCGCTACCTCAGGCCGTTAAAACGTTACTGTAGCGGAAGTTTTCGCTAAAAATTTCTGCTAAATGAAAAGCAGCTCCACTATTAGCGGAATAACGAACAACGCGTTATCGCCTACCATTGATGTGAATTACTGATAAAAGATTATGCTATCATGCATTCGTCGTGAATTGAGTTCATGAATTTACGCTGAGAGCAGTTTTCACATTTATACAACAGCAGTGAATAACACTTGTTTGCAGTAAATTCCACTTGATAAAATCCAAATCAGATGTTCTCTCCGTCGAAAATGAGCGTTTTTTTTTCGGTTGGAAAAAATGTCTACCAACGAATGAATAAGAAAGATAGTCAACTGTTCATATTCAGCTGATGAGAATTTTCGTACAAAATTCCTGGCAATGAAACCTTGAGTATTCCAGTGGTATGCATGAGTATCATTTGTCTATATCACAGCAAACAATTTGGATTCGCAGTAATTCGCTGTGGAAGTTGATTGTGTGATGTGATAGAGAAATTCATATTGCAAAATGAATCTTCTGATTGTTGCCCCGAGTATATTGCTCTTATCAGTTAGCTAAAAGAAACGAGGTTTTGCCTGATAACTTAAAAACGAGAGTTTTTGCTTGATAACAGAATCTCACTTGAGATTGATTCTTTTCGTCCCTTATGCGAATAATCACAAAGGGGACAATCGATTTATTCGACGACTAAGTGATGCAGATAACGCAAACATGCGGTTGTTGTTGAATGTCTGTCTCATTCAGATGCACGAGTATTATCGATAAATGCATGATTATCATCGAGAAGAGGCGGGACAGTTGCGTATGAAAATGAGGATAACAACAACTGAAATGCTTATAACAGCATTATGCATATTGAATAGAGAGAGGACTGTTTAACATTGATAAATCGCATCCCAGAAAACCACACCCATTCCGTTACACTGCCAACGAGTATTTGATTCAGTCGAATCATATTGCGTTTTACTGCTAGCGTTTATCGTCGTCACTTTCAACTGTTCATAATGTCGCCTGATGCTGAAGCTGTTGCAAGAATTGAAGATGGATACAAGAAATTAGCGGTTAGTTAATGGACATAATCAATAACATCATTTGCTGTCTCATTCCATTTAATCCATATGTCAGCAACCTTGTGCATCGTTCACATTTTCGATGTATTCTCCGAATGAATTTTCAGCCGCTCATTCAATGGATATATATAATCATTTATATATTTCATTGTTACTGTTTCGAAATATTTCTTAGTTAACATAATATTTTTGTTGACGAAGTGTTTTGACGAATGTGGTTGTTGAAGGCTGCCAAAGATTGTAAATCGCTGTTGAAGAAACACTTAACCGAAGAGGTCGTTAATGAGCTGAAGCAGAAAAAAACGAAGTTGGGTGCAACACTTATGGATGTCATTCAATCTGGTCAATTCATGTGTATTAATTTTTTTCATCTATTTCTGTTTCCAAAAANTAGTTTATGTAAAATACTCTCAAAGATATGTGGATAATTCAATGAATTTTCAAGGTGTTGAAAATCTTGATTCGGGAATTGGGGTGTACGCACCGGACGCAGAATCGTATACGCTCTTTGCACCACTTTTCAATCCTTTAATCGAGGAGTATCATAATGGATTTGGCCCGAGCGACAAACAACCTGTTGTTGATCTCGGTGAAGGTAATACTTATTCACAGCATTACCACATGAAGCAGTAACTTTTCTTACGAATTTTGGGAAGCCGTCAGAAAAGATAAGCAAAAAAAACAAACAATCGTGACGACATGGTGAACATTTCAAGGTAAAACTGCTCAACTAGTGGATCTCGATCCTGAGGGTAAATATATCAAGTCGACAAGAATTCGATGCGGACGATCTATACAAGGATATCCATTCAATCCATGTCTTACTGAGGCGAACTACAAAGAAATGGAAAATCAAGTTATTATCACTATTACCTCATTTCTTCAGCATATTTGAATGCGACGCA